ACTGTAATTTAATTACACATTTTTTCTCAGTAACTGAAACGGATTACAGTTACTTTTTTTTTTTTATTAAATTACGTAACACTGTTACATGTAACGAATTACTCCCCAACACTGGCAATAGGCATAGTGCATTCTATAATAAATCACAATTACAGTTTGACTATTTTATCCAATATTTGTGTGTCTAATTTTTCATGCTTATTTGGTCTGTTTACCCTGGTTAGGATACTGCTTTAAAAGACAGCTGCCTAGTTAGGTAGTTGGTGGTGTGAGGCAGTTCACCATTTTTTTAACAGGTCCATTTTGTTCATAACTACTTATTTGGAGTCTTGATATAATTGAACAAGTGTATGTCCTAATAATATGACAAACTCAAAGACTAATCTGCTGCCAGACACTTTCGAGGACTCTGCTGAGACTTTCAGCCATCATTAGTAGCAGGGCTTTTATCCAGAGGACAGTTTTATTGCTTAGAGGTTGCTCTTTCATGTCTCTGGAGACTTAAGATGAGATCTCTGACTTTTAATTGCTGACTTTTAATTTGGTGTCTCGGAAAATCTGAGCACAGTTTGAGATTTATTTTTAACTCTAGAGCTGACACATGTGAAATACTAGATTACAGATTCTTCCTTTGCTCTTAGTTGATGTCTTAGGAGATCATTATTTATTTATTTTTTGCCACAGGTATGATTTTGTATACAAATGTCCGAGACCACATGAAAAAATAAGAAGAAAATTTTAGGATTTAGAAAAATATTCATTTGATGCCATAGATTTTCTTTACTTAAAGGTGCTGTATGTAAGTTTTTGACTCTACTAAAGCATAAAAATGCCATAATGTTTGCAGATATTTAAGGAACATGCTAAGTTAACATACTTGTTAATCTAAAAAACAATGCTACAGTCAGTTATTCTCCTTTGAAAATGTGCGTTCCGGGCCGGAATGTCGGTCTCTGTTTTGGCTTGTGAAACCCGCCCACTGCCAGTTTACCCAATTGTATTTCGTCACCCCGGGCTGCCAGTTGGCGGAAAACACAGCGTATTTAATTTCATTCATCGTCAAGTGCGCTCGTTCCTGTTGGTGTCATCAATCTGGCAACCTGCGTGTGCATCAAGTCTGAGGAGGAGGGGCCGGTTGAAAAAAACCCTCTCCAATATTTTGAATTAGGACTGCAATACCTAGTTCAACCACTCGGTGTCAATCCTACATACAGCACCTTTAAAGGGGTCATATGATGAAAAAGAATATTATTTTGTGTATTTGGTGTAATGAAATGTGTTTGTGCGGTTTAAGGTTCAAAAAACACATTATTCTCCACATACTGTACATTATTGTTTCTCCTCTATGCCCCGCCTTTCTGAAACGTGTTGATTTTTACTTCTTTCTTTGCGTGAACATTTGGGTGGCGTTATGCAAATCTTCCCACATCATGACGTAGATATGTGGGGGTGTGTTAGAACGAGCCGTTTTAGGTAGGTGTGGCTGACTCTTAACTTTTATAAAGAATATATCTTTGGATTTGAGACTTTAGTCTTTGCAATTTTACAGATCTTCTTTATGCACCAAGAGCTTGTAACACTTCAAAGAGAAAGGAAAAATTGAAATCGCATAATATGACCCCTTTAATAAGAATTATTTCAGATTCTGCTGGTCGTATTTCTACATCACTATTCAAATGAGCAATTTTGCATGTGAACTTTGTACGAAGGGTCAGATTTTCATGCTACCATTGAAGCACAAGATGCTCTTTGAAACATCTCAGATTATCCCGGACAATGATGAGTGTTGCTGCCATTAAAGCTAAAGTACCAACTATTAAATCATTCTGCAATTGATGTACATTTTTCATTTAATCCTTTCAATCATTTTACTGATAAAGAGCATTTTCACTAATGATCTTGGACTTTTAGACCCATTATTTGTATGTTCTCATTTTTAATCATCTTCTTTTGTATAGAAAGCTAGCTTTAAAGTGAACAGCACCCTTTGAGCTCAGTCCTTAAACAATGTTGGAATCACATTCTTCATAAATAAAGCAAAAAGTTCTGTTTATTTCTGAAATCAAGGGCTGAATCATAGCCCTCCATTTCAATGTATATATATTTTTTTGCTCCCGCTGCATATACCACCCGTAAAGAAAATAAATTGCTAATTTAGAACCTATGATTAGAAGTCCCTGTTGGCTCCTACAGCTCTGAGCAGTTTTTAGTGCAATCACACTCTTAGGAAATAAGGCAAACAGCATATAATTTTACAAAAGTGGCACATAAAAGCACAAGGACAAAATTATATGTTAGTGCTTTTGTATAGAATTTAAAGCTACTTGAAGTTAGTAGCTACTGTCCCTTTAAGAGCTTCACGCGTTTCTCAATTGTTTACTTTCATTTTAGACATAACCAACTGTATTTATATGTAAACCTTGTGTGTTTTTGACAGTACTATACGCAAAATCAATCAGACACGTAAGACAACTTAGTCCAATAATCAGGCGCTTTTTGACAGGCTCTCAGTGTGAGTGTGCTTCATGAGTACGCACTCAGAAAAAGCGCATGCAGAACAGCAAGGGTATTAAATGTTTAACCGGTATGGCTTTAAAGCAGATGGAAATAATGTAGTTTTGTGATTGCGCATAAGTGCAGACACCCCCTAACTACCAAGTATAATCAATCTCACACACACGAACAAGCACAACGAAATCACTTCACACTATTAAGCGGCTGTGTTATGAACATGCAAAACTGTATCGCACGCGTGCTACAGTGGTACATTTATTCATCGCACAGAGCAGTTTTTTTGTAGCACGTGCGACATATATGTCACACTGTACAGCCCTGTGTAACCTCCCTCCTTATTCAAGGGACCACAAGTAATTGGACAGTTGACTCAAAAGCCATTTCATGGACAGATGTGGGCTATTCCTTCGTTATTTCGCACATTTTTTTTAACAACCCAAAAATGGCTGTTTCGTGGTCTGTTGAGGAAGTACAGACTTTCCTCTCGTTGATAGCAGAGGAGCGGATCCAGCGAGAGCTTGATGGGGCGACGTGGAATGATAGTTTTTCAGGAGTCCCGCGACTATAACGACTATAACGAAATGTGAATAATCCCGCCCACTCTAAAGCGGTACTAAACTGAAGTGGAAATGCAAACCGAGCTGAGCCGTGCCGTGCCGAGTCGAGTCGTGCCAAGCAGTGGAAAAGCACCATAAGTGTGCCATTTGCATTTGGAAGCTGTTGCTGTGAGCCCACATCATGCCGTCAAAGGATCTCTCCATACAAGTGAAACAGACAATTGTTAGGCTTCAAAAACAAAACAAATCCATCAGAGAGATAGCAGGAACATTAGGAGTGGCCAAATCAACAGTTTGGTACATTCTAAGAAAAAAAGATTGCACTGGTGATCTCAGCAATATAAAAAGGCCTGGACGTCTGCAGGGGACAACAGTGGTGGATGATCGGAGGATCCTCTCCTTGGTAAAGAAAAACCCTTTCACAACATCCAGCCAAGAGAAGAATACTCTCCAGGCGGTAGGTGTGTCACTGTCAAAGTCTACAATCAAGAGAAGACTTCACCAGAGCAAATACAGAGGGTTCAGCACGAGGTGCAAACAAGGCCAGATTTGCCAAAAAAACATCTTAAAAAAGTCAGACCACTTCTGGAAAAGCATTCTTTGGGCGGCTGAACTTAAGATCAACCTGTACCAGCATGACAGGAAGAAAAAAGTATGGAGAAGGCTTGGAACAGCTCATGATCCAAAGCATACAACATCATCTGCGATCACTTGCTGAAGACAAAACTAAAGGCAGAAAGACCCACAAACAAACAATAACTGAAGTCAGCTGCAGTAAAGGCCTGGCAAAGCATCACAAAGGAGGAAACCCAGTCTCTGCTGATGTCCATGAGTTCCAGACTTAAGGCAGTCATTGCCTGCAAAGGATTCTCAACAAAATATCAAAAATGATTAATTTTATTTATGTTTATGTTCATTTGTCCAATTAGATTTGAGCCCCTGAAAGGTAAAATTGATGTTATTTCCTTAGCATTTTATGTTATTTTTTTGTTCAAGCCCTTGAATTAAAACTTAAAGTCTGCACTTCAATTTCATCTTGATTGTTTCATTTTAATTCTATTCTGGTGGCATACAGAGCCAAAATTATGAAAATTGTGTCAGTGTCTAAATATATATGGACCTGTGTATAACTGTGTGAACTGTGTATATTTTTTGTTGTAATATATATATATATACTGTATATATACACACACACATATATATTACAGAACTAAAACATTTTCTCTCAAATTTTTGTTGTTGTAAAATCATGACCCACCCTTCATTTTTGTCTTGTCAAATATCCTGCTTGGAAATAAGTTGTCTTATAGACACAAACATGGTCATGAATAATAAATACTCAATCTGTTTTGTGTTTGTGAGGCTGTTGATATTTATGAATGTTGCATGGCCTTCCATGTTCATAAGAATGGGTGAAATCTTAAGATGTGGATTTTCTTGCTGGGCTCATTGCTGAGATGAAATAATGTCAGCGATGCAAGACCCTTCTTTTCATAATAGATTGAATACCAATTTGTTCCAGGTTCTGCAAACAGGAAAAATAGACTTAACGTTGTAATTGTACCCTTGAACCTGGTGCCGCTCAATCAAAGTATGAATATGTTACCGTAATGAGCGCTATCCCAGCCGCCACGGCACCCATTCCTCATTCCTTTTTTTATGTTTGCAACTTCAGCATAGCCAGGTTTGTTAGGTAAAATGAAATTCCCATCAATTCAGGTTTTGTACAATGCAAATCAGCATGCATCTGGCCCTCCTTGGTTCGTGTAGAGAGAGGTAATTAAGCACACAACCCTTTTGTCTTCAAAATACACTTGGAGTTTTTCATAGCAGGTGGGAAGAGCTGCTGTCAGGAGAGGTTGTTTCAAGTGTTGCTCAAGACTGAATGTTTATGTGTGTGTGTAACTTTATTATGTGTTGTCCCCACAGATATTTTCATCAAAAGTTTCCCTGTGCATCCAAAAGAGCTCAAGGACAAATTGTTGATTATAAATGAAGAGGAAGGGGGTCTCTCCGACGAGCATATCGCCTCTCTCAGGAGGTAAGAGTTACATGGAGACAAAGCAGCCTGCCAAACTCCACACCTGACACAATAGTTCATCTCTTCACAAGTGGTGGCGTATGTGTATTTTAAGTAGTGCTGTTGATTGATTTATAGTTTCTCTATGAACACGTGCAGACATTGTGTTTTGCTGCTTTTTTCAGTATCTCTTGGCATGAGCGCCACATTTTTAGGACAGCTTCTCAGCTTAAAGTTAAAAAATGTGTGCTGAATATTTATGAATTTCATGCTGATCCAAGGTAGTTTATGCTGGTCTGGTTCATCTTTAACTGTGCTGAAATTTGATTTGGTTTTCCTGCTCAAAAATTGCTTGTAAATCTCTCATTATGCTATATTATCACTAAATCCGGGATTCAATCTTTTTGTCAAATAGTTTTCTTTCATTTAGCAAAGGCTTTGGAACTGGTTGGTTGGTCATTGGCCTTAGTTGTTATACCCTGAGCAAAGTCAGTATGGTGAAGTCCAATGCGAATAACAGTAAGCATTTTCAGGAAAAAGAAAATCCTCCCTGGGGAAAAATGACCCAAAATGAGGGTTAAATGGTAATAACTGTCCATTTATGTGCACTAGATTTAATCGAACTTTAATTTTTATTACCATTTAGTTTAGGCTTTTTACTGTTTAAACCTTAACAGTCTTAAAACGAATTTCTTACAAGTTTTTTTTTACATCAAAATTTCTGTCCATTTTGGTCACAAAAAGTGCCTAAAAGTGATCACATAATTATAAAATGTTTAAAATTCTGTTAAATGCTGTTTCTTTTAAATTCATTTGAATTCATTTGATCAAAAATACAGTAAAAATCTGTGATTGACGCGACATATTTTCTGATGCACGCTCTCTGTCCGCTGGTGGGAGTGTGCTCACCTGTGTAGGGCCCTATGAAATCCGTTTTATTTTTTCCCAAATTTATTCTTAAAATAGCCTTATGAATTGTTTTTTTTTTTCCCTCAGAAATTCTGTGTTGTGTATTTACATTTTTATGGTTATCAAATGAAGGCATAATACATTAATTTAATTTATCTTTTAATTATTGAAAATTAAACAAACTTTATTTTTTTGGCGAACAAAGGGGATTTATTATAAACAATAAAACATAAGACATGTTGTGTGATTATTCCTTAAAAATTAAAGTTTTAATAATTTTAGTATAATTTTCATTATAATAAAGTATATAATAATGCAATGCCTTTATCACTGCTTAGAATACTATGAAATATGTTGCGTGCCTTATTCTGTGTAAGAAGCCACATCATCTCGCAGAAGGATTTATTTCAAACACTCGACTGATGTTATGAAGTGAGTTTGGAGTAAAAACATGTTATTAAATGTGGTATTTTCACGTGCTTTCAGAAGGAGCAGCATTTACTACACAGAGCCGTATAGTTCACTGAGAAGCTACGCAAACAACTTTATCATCGTAGCGCGATTTCATAATATCGATGTATAATATCGATGATATCGTCTGTGATTTTTTTTTACGTAGCTTGTCAGTGAACTATACGGCTCTATGTAGTAAATGCTACTCCATCTGAAAGCAGGTGATGAAGATTTACTACTAAATACAGAACCGGCTTTACTGACAAGATGTGCATGACTATCGCATGCGATTTATCGTGCAGCCCTATTACTTGTTCAGATGACAATATCCGGTGAAAATTCTTATTTGGGTCATACTTCCAAGATGTAGAATCTGTGATTCTGAAGTATAGTATCCACACCGGTGTGGTGACTGACAGCCACACATCAAAATAGATTCATCCGCATTGAGGAGTCGTGCCGGTGCACAACCAAGTAAATTCCGCAAATAATTGCAATTGCAGGTTTCAAAGAGACAAAGAGGCAAAATTTACAGACTGCAGCTTTAAGTAATTCTTTTTTAAGACTGTTAAGGTTTAAACAGTAAAAAGCCTAAACTAAACAGTAAAAAAAAAAAAAACACTTTAAACTACATGTTTACATGTACACCTCAAATGTTGATGCTTAAAAAAAATGCGTGTCCATGTTATTTGTCAGAGACCCATTTATAAAATATAAATGAAAATACAGCAGTGGAGATCAGCAGACCACAGTTAAATGTGAAAGAACAGAGCGCAGTCTGTTTTGTAAGAAACTCCAGTGGCAGATCTAATGAAGACCACGGAGACCATGAGAAGTCACGGGCAGTTCATGTCGAGGAACACACCATAGCATTTCTTTAATGCTAATATAAAAGAGCATATGCCAGGCTCTCTTAACAGAACAGCCTGCTTATGAAACTTTTATCAGATGTATTTGAGGGAAAGGAGACTATTGAGTTGCCCTGAGGGAAGCTGGAAAAATGCTTTCTCCTCCGCATTTGTATGCAAGAAGCATCCTTAGATGACTGCTGGAGGCCGACCTGCATGCGGGAGGCATAATCTAATGTACCTACTGAGAGATTTATATTTATTTAGCCAAATGCAACAAATATCTAAGTGCGGCTTCTGAATACAATCTCAATCGGGATAGTCCCAGCAGAAGCTGCAATATTAATGGTAGGTGGCTGTGGTTTCTCCATCCCAGCATCCTTGGGCTCATGAAATAGTCAGTGTGGGATGGATTTGAAGCACGCTAAAACGACCTGAACACAGGTCCATTTTGGAGGTGAGCCGGGTTCAAACAGAATGCGAGTCAGGAACAGCCAGAGCATCAACTACCTGAGCACTTTATACAAGCTGACTGCAACTTGGCTTTTAATCAATCCCTGTTCCTCGGGCCAGTGGAAATCAGAGTAGCATGCACCCTTTTCAGAGGACTAGATGGAGAGACGCAAAGAGAAAACGAGGCAATCTCGGAGGAGAAAATAGGCTTGCTAGGCAGTCAACCTGTAAAAAACGAAAAAGGGTTGTGTCATCCCTTTAGAATTGTGCATGCTTAAAATGGGCATCTATGAAGTATTAATGAAGCAGAGAGGTTGGACCGATGTAAAACGAAATTAGGACAGGCGTTTCAGTGCTTTGCCATGTTTACATTTGTGGTGTTCTTCATCAGATACGTGCCCACTCCAGATGACATTGAGATGTATAAATCGCATAAAGGAGACCCTAGTGAGCTGCATGTGGTGGACCAGTACATGATGGAGGTAAAGCCACGCCTCACGCTGACATCACACTTAATCGCTGAAATAATGGAGCCGATAACAAGGTCGATCACGTGATGTGAATGATATTTTTGGCGAATACATCTCTCTGCACATACCTTTCATAATTCATGCAACTTTTGATTATTAGATTAAATGTTATCATATTTCTAAATTTAAAGGCAGAGTAAGTGATTTCTGGTAGCCAATGTTGATATTTGAAATCACCAAAACAAACACGCCCCTACCCCAAAAGGGTCTTGCCCCTATTTTGATAGCTCCGCCCCACATATACGTACGCAACCCAGGCAACGATTAGTTCTGTGAAACAAAGCAAAACCAATGTTACACCATGTCTAC